AATTAATTTAACTTGGTATAAATTGGGTTTTTATAAGAAACTAATAGTAGAACAAACTATACAAGAGTTAATTTTTTTTTAAAAAAAAAAAGCTTGGTAGGCATATTATTAATTGATAAATAATAATTTCATTATTTTTCAATTCATATTTATATAATTGATATTTATTTATGAAGGCAGATATATGTTTTATTTTATGCTTACAATATGAATTTCAAGGAAAAATAATTAAAATGTGATTAATTTGATGTATCAAATACGGAAAAACTAATAACAATTAAAATATATATTAAATATATTTATAATTTAAGTTAAACATGCGTCCTATAATTTTAAAAATCCTAATAGGCATGATAAAAGTATGTTTCTACATATACTACTCCAAAACATAAAAAATTGACATAAAATTATGAAGCATCACAAATTCATACACGAGAATACAAATCACCAAAAGTTTCCACTTGAATTCGGTAAAAGAGTGCCAAAAGTTGAAATTTGAAATCGAAAAAAGCTATATTTAAATATATATATATATATATATATAGGAGGAATGATGTTAAAAGGGGAATAATTTAAATTGTTGGCAAATTATAAGAGAAGATGAAATTACACATGCAATGATGCAAAGTCCATCCATTTCCTGTTCTTTTAGATAGAAAATAGGTACAAGTATACGAAAGTTTAGTTAATGTATTAAAAATATCATTGAATTTTGGTTGTACTTGTGTAATTTGTAATGCACCCAAAAGTCATGTGGCTGTAGAGAAATAATCTCAAGCACACACTACATTTGCACATGGAGTCAGACCAACTTTCCTAATCTGGAGCACATGTTCGTAGCTTACACGGCAAGCTCTTTTCTCTTCTCTACTCTTCCTATTATTGCATAGTGTGTATTGTACGCTGCTAATAACGTTTTAAATAAATAATGTAAAAAAATGTTCACTTCTAATTTTATGGTAAATAGCTGTGTGCAAATAGTTTTTCGGATCCAAAAAAATAATTTATAAGAAAAAAAAAAAAACTCAGTATAATAGTTTCTACGTATGAAACTGTTAATTAAAAATTAATTAATTTTACATAATCAGTTAAGCCAGATCAAATAGCACAACTGTTCAGCTAGTCATTTTTATATTGGATACTGGACAGTAGTCAGTAGTCGCTTCCTAAGGCCACAGAGTAAACTAAACTGCACTGGTGGGATCCATAATTGAAGTCGAAATTTTTTGCCCAAAAATGAGGAAAAAAGAAAATAGAAAAATCTTCAAATTTGTTAATTACTACAAACAAAAAATGAAGAAACATGCGAGAGGGTAAAATTGGTGGTTGTAAAATGGGAGAATTTGGAAAATTAACTAGAACTTCAGTTACCGGTTTAAAACCATGATTGGCATAGTACAAAGCATCAGAGTATTTCAGTGTGAAAAATAATGGGCAGAAAAGAATGAAAAAGGAATCATCACAGATAAATTCAAAACTAAATGAAAACAAAGAGCTTTAATGAACTCTTTGGCCCCTTGCAGAAAGCAATTCATCTTTTCTTCCCACCTCACTAAAATAATTCACGCATTTATTGGCTACAATTCAACCTTCAATTTTCAACTCTCTTTTTTTCCCTCTTTTTTCAGAAACAAATTAATTATTTCTCGTAAAAAGTAAATTCATAATGCAAACACATAATACTGAGCAAAAGCTTCTGATAATTATTTCATCTTCTTTTCCTGATCTACACAGTCACACTACTTGCAGAATTTATATATGCAGCAGAGCAGAAAAACATGGGAATTCAAAAGAGAAATCAAATAGAGATCAATTTGCCTATACATTGCATCTAATTAATTCATTTAACCAGAAATTAAACCTAAATTGACAAATCCCTAATAAAGAAAACTTAAATCTTCAGATTAGTGGAAACTTAATCTTCAAATCAGCCACCATTACTCATTTCGGTTCACTTAACTGGAGATTTTCAGAATTTCCCTCTTCTTCGTTCATGGCTTCAGCTCAACTGGGACCCACTCGTACCGCCCTTCTACTGGCTCATCCTTCACTATATCATAGTTATACCTGCACCAAATCATATGCACACACACAAATTCATCAGAATATTTTTTAATTATCAATAATTTGGGGAATACAAAATTACCATATGTAGTGAGAGAAAGAGAGAGTTGAAATTACTTCTCGAGAAATTGTTTCTGGATATTCTTCTCAGCGGCGGCGAAGAATTCTTCGAGTTCCGCTTCCGTCGGCATTTTCTCCGCCGTGGTGGTACGGCGGGAATCGGGCGCACTCGGCGGGCCCGCCGTCGACTCCAGCTCTCCCGACTCGGTCTGGACCTCGCTGGACGGCGAATTCTCTCTCCTGAAGAAACAATACGGTGGCGTGTTAGCTTTCCTCCGCCCCGAAGGATAAACACTACCGGCGGCACTCATGGAGGCGAACGGGTGAAGAGAGAGAGAGGGGGAAAGAGAAACGTGGAGGAGATGAACTATGAAACGATGAGAAGCGATTCAGTTTTTTTTGGCAGATTTGATAAATTTTGAAATTGAAGAGACGTGTCTTATAGGATCATTCATCGCACTTGGGTCTCCACATAATTGTATTTTTATTTAATTATTATAATAAAAATATAGTATTATTAATTAATACCTGTCTCTGAAATCCACCGAATGGCCAGCTGATGTCGCGAAATACTCCACAGCCACCGCATTTTCCTGGGGATTCCCAAAACAAATTACTCAAATTCAAAAATCTCATCGATCGAGCATTAATTCGAAGCACCAAACACGATGTTCATTCCTCACATAATCTCCATTAATTTGTACTTTTCTTTCAAATAATTCAGGAATTAATTAACTAATTAGCTAATTAATTAACTAGTTTTGTTTTTTCTATATGCATATATATACCTTCAGATCTGCAAATCCCGGGCTCTCACTCGATCCGCCGCTCGAGCAACAGGAGGATGCAGAGCTGCCGGAATCCACCGAATTCTCAGGCGAGATCTCATTCTCCGGCGGCGACGCGGCTGAGCGGCGCGTTTTGAGCTGAACCGAGGACGTCGAGATCTCCGATTCTCCAAACGCCGTCTCCCTCCTCCTCTTGGCCACCGCCGCCGCCAGCTCACCTGATCCGTCGCGTTTTCTCGAGCACCTTCCCATGTGTGAGCACAATTTCTCCGATATACGAAATTAAGAAAGCCACAAAATCGCTCACAACTGGTGATTGATTTCTGAATTTCGTACTCTTTTTCCTCTCATTTTTTTTCCCCTCTTTTCACTTATTACAATGAACGGCAGTGATGGTGGTGGTGACTCGGAGGGCTACCAGCTTTTTGTGCTGCGCTTTTTATCAGAGGGCAGAGATTTTATATAGAAAAAGAATTTCGCGTGCGTGTGTGTGAGAGAGAAGGAGAGAGAGAGAGTTGACAGTGAGTGATAGTGATGATTGATTATTATGAAGAAGATGCCTGTGCAGTTTGGTGCGTGGAGAATCAATCCCGTTTGGTATGGGGTTTTAGGGGTGTTAATTAATCACAATTTGACGTTAACGGCAACGGAATTGTTCAAAGCGCCGTTAGAAGGAAATGGGCAGCGGCTTGAGCTGGAGTCGGAGTTGATAACGCGCCCGCAAAGACGACTGATTGCCGCATGACTTGGGTTGTCTTATTTATATTGTTTTGCTGTTTATTCTTCCTTTTTTAAGTATTGGTTTATTTACTTTTCTACTCTATTTCAAATAATAATAATAATAATATTTGAGTGTGTTTCGCAATTTTTTTTTACAAAATAATATTAAAACTTCTACTCTTTATCAAGAAAACCTTTTTTTTTATGTATACATTTATTAATTAACACTCTTGCACTACAACTAATATTATATTATACATAACTTAATATTGACATATATTTAAAAAATAAACGCTTTTGTCCTCTTCATCATATTATATCATTCAATGTAATTTTGAGAGTATTTTCCCTCATTACTCAATTTAAAATGATCTTAAATTTGAAATTCTATACAATGACTAGAGTTGTTAATGAAACCGAACGTTCGCGAACAAAAACTCGTTTGAGCTCATTCGTGTTCGACAATAACTCGTTCGTGTTTGACAATAACTCGTTCGTTTATTAATTGGGCTGAGTTCAAACGGAAAATTAGGCTCGTTTAATAATCGAACGAACACAAGCTCGTTTGCGAACGTTCGATAATATTTGCAAACATTAATTTATTATACCTTTATTTTATTTTTTGTATATTTACATGATTTTTGTAATAGAAAACCAAAATATAATTTTATTTTCATTTTCGAGTTTGAATGAGTTCGAACGAACAGATTTCGTGTTAATCGAACATATTTAAAAAGTTTGTGTCTTAAATTATTTGAACACGAACAAACTGAGACTTTGACGAACAAGCTCGAACACAATTTTTTGTTCAAAAAATAAACGAACGAACACGACCAGTGTTCGAACGTAAACGAACGTTAGCTCAACAAAATTACATTGAAATCACATAAATGTATTCATTTTAAACACTCAAGTCATAATAAATTTCCGAATCAATTATTTAACTATGAAAGTAATTAACGTCGTATAAATTCTAGTTTATTTATCCGTTAGCCATGTCTAATAGTATGATTAAGGCAAGTAAATGGATTATGATTTCGTGCAAACTTCTATAAGAAAACATCACAATCAATTCTCATGACTTGTTAATAAAGTTAAGACACTGAATTAATTACATCACTTTTCATTTAACACAAGTAATAAATAATAATCTATCTAATTAAAAGAAGAGCTTACCTCACTTATAAGACAATAAATGGAGCATTTCTTGATTTATCTTTTCTTTCCCAAATGAGATCACACGAATATAGTGTTATGGTAATAGGTCTTGTTCGGTAAAAAGCTGGTATTAAGCATTATAGTTGTGCTACTCCCCATCTAATTATCTCTTAATATGATTATTGATCAATTGGGCATTTTTTAAAATATTGAATCGGTAGGTCTTTTGTTATGCTGTTAATGATTAAATATTCATAATACTACTGATTAGATATTCATGGTATCTTGATAAGTGTGTATATACTTCAGTTAGGCTATTAATAATTAGATATTTATAACATTAATTTCACAAGTGTACATATTTCTATATTCAAATATAATGTTTTAAAATATAATATTTTATAGTATAAATATGTATTTTTTTTAATAAAATATGGCTGTTCAAACCAACATATGCGTGTATATTAATGAATAAAAGTAATAAAAAAAAACCTGAGATCATGTAACATGCGAGTAGTGCTTTTGCTATTTTCGAGGTATTTTGCATACTTCTCTTTTAAATCTCAACATGCTAAATTTCTTTAATTTGAAAATTTTCAACAATAAAGTCAATATTATCAATTCACTTTTTTCACTCAAACTATGAGTCATACCAATTTATTAATTCTTTTAAAAAACCTCATAGCCAACTACAATAGTCATACAATCATATCACAAATATCTTAAATCATTAGATTCCATTTTTTCAAATATTTTTTTTCTTAATATTTCTTCTCAAGGATAGAAAGGTGCAAACTAAAAGCATAACCAATCACACTATCATTTCTCAATGATGCTTTTTGTGAGGTATAATGGAGAAAATGATAAAAGAGCTAAAGTAAGAAAGCAAAAATAAAGCCAAACTTTTGGTCCCTTTCCTTGTTTTCTTTCACATTTCCCTTTGTAGGTTTTTATAATGGNTAATATACTTTTGCTGGCATGAACCAAGTCATTTTCACTTTCACTTACAGAAACAGAGTACATTATGGACCACATTTCTTTACTTCCAATGTTAGTGTGCTAGCTAGTGTAGTTTCAATTGCTAAAAGACAAGAGAAAATAGATAAATTTGAAGCCAAAAATCGGGTTTTCAAGGTTGACACTATTGAAAATTGCATCAATTTGGTGAAAATAATTAATTCTTATTGTTATTATTATTATTATTATTATTTTGAGAATTTTCCATTTACCACCATTTACCTATGAAAAAACAAAAAGTTTGATATTCCTTTTTTTCCTTTTAGCCCTATATATAGAGTTTTAAAGGCTAGGAAAAAAACTAAATGAATACTACGAAACAAAGTTATATGCAAGGTTATGAAAATCGGATTGGTCATCTGAGTGACCAAGTTATTCGTTCATTGGTTAGACCATTAATGGTTCACTAGTGAGATCAATATTAGTTGAACTAATTGGTTGGATTGATATTTATTTATTAATATTAAGTAATAAATTTTATAAATAAAAATATTTTCCACTAAATGTGTCGATAATTTGAAACATTCGAATACCTAAAATTAATTGACATAATACTTTACACATATTTAAATCATTTAAATATGTATTTATTGATACTTAAGATATATTAAAAAATACTAAAACTAATTATATTAAAAATAATTTAAAAAATAATTCTTTCACAATGGTTCTTCCAAGTGAACCAAACCTATATATCAAGGGAACGATTTTCAGGCCAATCTATCCTATTTATCATAGTATACGCGTCAATATAATATTTGTAAATAATTATAAATGTTGCATAAGCTATGTAATCCAATGTTTCATAGCAAAATTCATAATCATTGATAAAATTTTATTTTATTAAAATATGTTCTTTTGAGATAATTTACCTATTGGATTTACCCAAAATTATGGTTGTTAACGAAATCGAATGTTTGTAAATAAAGTTCGTTCGTGTTCGACAAGAGCTCGTTCGTTTGTTAATCAAGTTCAGTTTGAACAACAAATTTGGCGCGTTTAGTAATCGAACGAACATGAGTTGGTTCAAAGTTCGATAACGTTCCCAAACATTAATTTGATATTATTTTATTTTATTTTACTTTTATATATTTACATGATATATTTAATTAAAAAATTTTAAATATAAAAATATATTTATTTATTTATTTATTTATTATTTTCAATTTCGAACTAACATATTTCGAGTTAATCAAACATACTTAAAAAATTTTTGCTATAAATTATTCGAACACAAATAAACTCGAACTTTGACAAACGTAAAACAAACACAAAAAATGTTTGAACATAAACGAACACGAGCTCGAAATGTCCAAAGTCATCTCGTTATATTTCGATTAAAATTTAAAGCACTACCCAAAACCATGCATATGGATACGAAAATTGAGATATTGAGGAGACATAAGATGCAAGGCCATTTAATTTAGGGCCATAACGGCACAGCCCGTTAGGTGAGTGTTAATGGAAGTAATACTTCAAGATTGGATCCATTAATGGGGAGTTATATTGAATTGCACGTGGGGGCTCAATTTTGATACTTTTTATTTTTATTTTATTTTTTCTACTGTTTTTTCCTAATACTCAATTCGACTTTGTGGGATGGTAGTGCTTAATAAGTGCCATGCACAATCATCTCAGTTTCGACTTTTGTATATAGACTGAGTGAATGAAGTTTGTCCTCTTGTGATCAAGTGTTGTTCACTCATAGTGTTGGCCAGGGCGAATTTACCTAGTGTGGAATTGCCCCCTGATTTTAATTTTTTTTACTATTAATATTAAAAATTTTAATTTGTTCTTCTTTTAAATTTATTTTTTTACCCCTAGAATTTTTGTTTTTAAACGTCACTCACTAGCCAACTTGTCCACAATTGTCAATTATTAATTTAACACTTCTTCTATTTTACTATTAATTTTATATATTAATTATTATCATTCTACAATTCTAATTGGCTCATATAAAAGACTTCAACTCTCTTTTATTGCCTAGGCTAGGTCTGGTATTTTTTTTTACCGAAAAACTGAAAATCGAACTGAACCGAACCGATGAGAAAATAAACCGAACTGAACCGACTTATGTGTGCGGTAATCGAAAATTGGTTACCGAAATGTTATTGGTTCGGTATCGGTTCTGAATCCATTATGTCATGTCTTTTTCCCCTTCTCAACTAATTTTTTGATTTCGCCCCTTGTGGGCCCATTTAAGCATCTCGATCAACACATTTGCATGCTGTAATATTTTTTTCTTTCTAATTTTAACCTCATTTAGTAATTAGCGTTTTTATATTAAATATATAGAAGGTCTAAGGTTAATTAGATATTTAATTCATCAAAAATTGTAAATCTAATGTTTCGTAAGTAGCAATCCAAAAAGATTTTCGGATCTCTAATGATATAGCCACAGTTGGGCTAGGCCAAACTGATGCCAAGTCTTAATAGATCGACTGATGGAGGAAATGGTCAGGTCGACTTGAGGAATAAACGTACAAAAGAACTGAGGGAATGAGTCGATTAAAGTCACGAGAAAACAACTGGGTGAAGAAGGAACGACCTGAGCTATTATTGAAGGTGACCTCTAGCATGACAACACGGATCTTACTCATAGATACTTAGGGAGACGACATGTTTATTGCAACCTATTGACAATTGAATCGTGACAGACATGAGGAGCGTAGGTCGAGTAAATGACCTAATGGGAACTAAAGCAGATCTAATGAGGATGAAAAGGAATCTAATGATGATGAGGATGACATTAGGATAAGACTAAACTCCGGGCAGCCTATAACCGTTTCGGACAGGCTGACCGGGGTAGATGGGTAGAACGGGCAGCTCAATCATGGGCACCAAGACATCTCCCTC